TCTTAAATCGCAACTTCCTGGTCACGTGACCAAACTTAGCATCAAAAACAGGAAATTCCTGTGTACATACGCCCCACATATGCCGTGAGGCAAGACACCTGCCGTGAGGCAGAACAGGGATATACAGTGATACCTCGGTTCACGAATGCTTCTGTTCACGAACAACTCAGTTCACGAACAGAAAAGTTCATAAAAATATGCTCCGGTTCACGAACTCCGCTTCGGTTCACGAACAGGAGCCGCGGCCATTTTAATGCTATTTCCAGGCTATCACATGGTCGTGACTTCCTGTAGGAAGATCGTGGAGAGAAGAAGAGACACAGAAAGAAGTACTGTGAGTACTGTGAAGACACTTTCAGTGACTTTTTGCTTTTTGGTGTGCTTTTTAGCACATACAGTACTGTACTGTACTACTGTACTGTACTGTACAATACTGTACTTACTGTATTGTACAGTTCACCCGTTTGAGTGCTTATTGAAGTCATCTCAAGCAAGGTTAGTGTTCATCTTCTTGGTTCTTTCGGTAAAGTCACGTAGAGAATTATTTTATTTTATTATGTTTTATTTTTATTATTTTATTACTTCCCTTCTACGTGACTTTACCAAAAGAACCAAGAAGATGAATCCCTGCAGTCACGAAAGCTTTAAATCGAAATTTAAGGTTAGTGTTCTCTCTTTATACATTACTATACTGTACAGTACTAATGTGTATTGTAATTTGTTTCATATTTTTGTGCTTCAAAAACCAAAAAAAAAGGTCAGAACGGATTAACCGGATTTACATTGAACCCTATGGGAAAATGTGCCTCGGTTCACGACCAATTCGGTTCGCGACCAGAGTCAGTTCACGAATTAAGTTCGTGAACCGAGGTATCACTGTATAAGGAAAGGAAAGAAGAGAGGTAAGGGGTGGGCAGTTCACGCAAAGCTTTGAAAACTAAGGTGAGCAATTTAAAGAGACAGCTTTGATAGATAGGAAGCCAGTGAAGTTGTTGAATGAGAGAAGCAATGAGAGATGAAGGGAAGGTTAAAGGTGGAACTGCTGAACCAGCTGGTTCAGCAGTTCCACTGCTGGATTATTATTATTATTTTCCGCCTGAGTGCGACCCCTTGTGTTGCGATCGAAACGTCGTGATATATATATATTTTATACCTACATGACTTTACCGAAAGAACCAAATAGTGTGTGTCATTCATGCTTTAGATGACCATTAGGCAGGATGAGATGTGGTCGGAAAGGTCGGGAGTAAGAGCCTTGAAGGAAAAGAAGGGGGATGTGTCAAGGGAGAATAGGAGAGGACCAAGTACAAAACCCTGGGGGATACCAACTGTGATGGGGGAGTGAGAGAGAGAACCATGGTTAAAAGAGACAGTGGATGAACGAGAAGTGCGGTAAGAGCGGAACCAATGAAGTGGGGTGCTAGAGATACCGAGGTTAGACAGTTGATAAGAGGATGGAGTGATCAAGGGTGTCGAATGCTACAGACAGGTCGAGCAAAATTGGGGAGATGAAAGGCCCAAGTGGCGTGAGTTAGCCAAGTGGTTGTGCACGTGGAGGAGAGCGGTTTTGGTGGAATAGAGAGGACAGAAACCAGACTGGTGGAAGGGATAGAGAGAGTGAGTAAGAAATTTAAGAAGTGAGTCGGGTGTGAACTAAGCGTTCAAGGAGTTTGGAAAAGTAGGAAAGCAAGGTAATAGGGTGATAGTGTGCAGGGATGGAAGGATCTAGGGAAGGGGTTTTGAGAAGGGGTAGCATGATGGTGGTTTTGAAGGAGTCAGGGAAGATTCCAGATAAGAGGGAATCAGTTGAGAGTTAGGAGGAACGGGAGGATAGTGGGGAAGCAGGGAAGGCGGCAGGAGGGGATCAAGGGAGGAAAAGGTTGGGTGAATTTTGGAAGTTATATTTGACATCTCCAAGAGGGAGGACAAGGGTCAACTAGTACATGCGACACTGAGCAAGCAGAAGTGAAGATAAGGTCAAGCAAGTTACTGGAGGAGTGAGCTGGAGGAGAGGAGACAAGGTGTAGGTTGATAGAGCTAGTGAGAGACATTAAAGTCGAGGACGTACATGGGGAAGTAAGATAGAGGTTGAAGTCTCCCAGAAGAATCAGCAGACATGAGATAGGAAGGATAGTGGAAGGAAGGCAGTCCAAGTCGTCGAATAACAAGGAGGGCTGACTAGGGTGGCGGTAAACAATTAGAAATTAAATTGCAAAGGAGAAAGAGAAAGAGGGTAGTTGAAAATCGAAAGAGGGAAACATTGGAACAACAACAGATGGAGGCGATGGGATCCAGGTAGAGGAGAAGAGCCAGATGGTCTTGGGAATGGATGACGTTGGTGTGGGATGTGGAAAGCGCAGCTGGGATGGCAGTATTCAACGTGGATATCCAGGTTTCTGTAATTGCTAGGGCTTCAAGGTTTTTTTAGAAAAAGGCGTCTAGGGTGGAAGCGGACGTGTTACCGACTGAATGGCAATTCCAGAGGCCGAGGTGAATGGAGCTGATGGGTGGAGGGAGCGGGGTAGGGTGGTGCGGCAGGGGTTTTTAGAGTAGAGGGATGGCGATGAGGTTAGAAAGAGTCGCACATAGTGAAGATGGGGGGGGCGTATAGAGGGCAGCAGATGGCAGCAGATGGCAGGGATGGACGATAGGTATTAGGGAATTTAAGGGGGTAATCGATTTAGGGGGTATGGCTGTAGCTGGTGGGGATCTGGACATGGAGCAGGCCATCTGCTGCGCTGCTCGACCCCTTACACCCTGACAGCCCCTTCGGCAAGGTCTTTGGGAGGCCCTGCACCTTTAACAAGTGGGTTGTGCTTAGCACGATTGGCATAGGCTGGCAGTAGAACCCCCGGAGAAATACCCTGGTGTACATGAGCCAACCAGGTTTCTGGTTAATGCCCACCAGACATTTTTGTGAGCTATCACGATGGGCCGCCTTGCACAGATCGTCCAGCAGAACCCCCGACACGGGCAGCAAGAGGCACGGCTGACTCGTGCACAGGTAGGCGAGGAAGCCGCCCTGTACCAACAGATGGCCGCACGGCTCAGTGAGCGGGCTGTTTGTTGCATGTGTCGTAAGGGCCCATCGGCCGGACCGATGGGCCCAGCCCGATTGCCCTGAAGGCTGTCTTTTGAAATACCTTACACTATCTCCTTTGGCCTTTCCCCATCTTATCTTACATTTCTTATCTCTTTTACGTCCTGCCTCGTGCTCTTCGTTCACAATCTTCCCTATCTTGCTCAGGCCCTCCTTCCTGTGCCCAATCTCGATTTCGGTCCTTCTCCCTCCTTGCACCCTACCACAGGAATCAACTTCCCCTGTACATTAAGAAGTCCCCCTCCTTAATCACCTTTCTTTCCTTTCTTAAAGCCTCACCTTTTCTCCATTGTCCATTCCATTCCTCTTCCATTCCCTCATCCCTCCACTGCATTTCATCCCTCCCCTGCCCTTTTGTGACCCCATATGCCCTCTGTTATTGCACACCCTTGCCATATATCAGTCAGTTTGTGTTACCGCTTTTAAAATACGTAAAGCACATGTAAAGCACCTTGAGCTGAGGTGCTCTATAAATATAAAATAAGATCAAATTAAGATGGCGGTCAGTATGGACGTCTGACTGTGCCACTGCCCGTGTCTCTCATGGAGAGGTGAATCAGGACACCCTGACCAGTCCATCCTCCCGTTCAATCTGTCCGACCTGAGTCCCCCACATCATCAAGTGGTTCTCTCACTATCTCCCCCTAAGCCCCCCCGGGTAACGGAAAATGTTTGTGGCGACTTGGCCTAGTCCCACCTGGACTCCAACATGACTGCCGGCAGGGTAGCGATCAAATGTGGCACATCAACGGTCTCCAAGCGAAGTCTCGATCTCTTCCGGGACTGGTATGGACGTCTACCTGCGCTGCTCCCTTTGTTTCTTTGGAGTGGTGTATTGGGAACCCTACCCGCTCATGCTATTCTTTTACTATAGCCTATCCCCCACCTTGTTGGGTGCCCCCTTCCTTTTGATGTCCCCCACTGGGCCCTGCTGGTGTCTGGGTGTTTCGTAGTGACTGGCCCTGGTTGAGGTATGATCCCACCTCTCTGTCCACGACCTCTGTTGGCCACCTTTGTGATCGCGATTGTGTGTGGCCTGCCAATAATCTTCAGGCGAGGTCACTACCTGCTTTGGGGCTGGTGGGGCACCACCAAGTGGTGTATGTTAACTTGCAATCATATGCATTTTCGTACATTTCATGCCATTCAGTCATTGTTTTCAGAAATGTCGACTAGGAACACAACCCTTTATTTCAACATTGTCTAATGGGAAATTAGAGTTCGCTATCAGTAATATTGTGTGAAGTAGCATTTCCCAGGAATGCATCCCCACTTATCATGAGGGATTCCTGTATCTGCTACTCCTGATGCAATTATTTTACTCGGCCACCTCAGTGTAAAATTATAGTTGTTCCACAGTAATATCAGCCATATGAAGAAGAAGCATGCTGGTAAGTGCTGGTTGGTGAAGACAAGGAGCATATACAGACTGCCATGCAATGGAGAGCCTGTACTGGGGGATTTCTGCTGTTGGAGGGGGTATTTTGTGTTTTTGTATTGTTGGCACATTATGACCTGCCCCTACTAAACATATTTGAAAAAGAGCTTTATTGCTCATTGGATTCCTATAAATAAAGATTCTGATTGTGATTTCAGGTTGTGGTCCCCTCATGCTTCATACAGCACTTCCGATTAACACGGTTGGCTACATACAGTACGAAAGAAATTCAACATACATGCATGCAAACTAATCCTTTGCACTTACATTGTGTGTCCTTAACCAGCTAACTGGCCGATTCAGAGCTAAGGGTGTTGCTCTTGGGCAACAACATCCACTCCCCACCCAACTGCTACTCACCCCTCTTGAATCCTGTAGTGTTTTCATATTTATTTTTGTGTCATGTATGTTTATTTAATATGTATTTTTTCATTTGTGGTTGGCATTGTGTTTGTTTTTCAGATGGAGCTGGCTGTGCACAAGAAGAAGGTGGAGGAGTTGGAGACATGGCTAAAAGCTCATGCCTTGCAGCATAATGCTCACAAGGTGAATGTGGAACACCCAGTGCTACTTAGCCACGCCTCTGTACCCTTTACACCATTATGCACACCTCCATATATAACTGTTATCATCTCCCAATTCCTTCTTGAACATTGGCATATGCACGACCATTGTTCACACCCTGCTTGCCATATACCTACACTGCTGCGCATATTACACGAATATATCAGCACTTCCTGGACTAACACGCTGTACGTACGTCTCGCAGGGCAGCATCCTACTGCTCACGGGTCCAGCAGGTGCGGGCAAGACGGCCACACTCCAGGTTCTCTGCAAGCAACTGGGGATCATTATCCATGAGTGGATTAACCCACTCGGCCAGGAGACACTTGGTACGTCACGACACCAATTACGCTCGTGCTGCAAAAACTCCACACTATTCTTAATATTTAACCACCAGCTCACTGTCAGACATGTATTTGCTACCTGGCTCCAACCAGTTAATACATTTGCAAAAATATGCAAAGTTGTATAAATTAGGTAATTTGTTAGTGATTTGCCTCCATTGTGAATCGATTTATTGTCATGATTTTGTGTTGTGATTTGCTTCAATAATCAATTTTACACTATCCAGCTAAGATTGAAATTGTTCCTGCAATAGCTCTGTCCATCTGTCTGTCCACCTGTCTGCATCATGTGGTCAATGCTAATTTTAGAACACAGTCTTGTAGCTTTCATAAAACTGTAAAAATTCATGATATGGTTCCAAAATACTGGGCAATAAAAACAGAACTAATAATAAAAGTGTTTTCTGCCAAGATGTGGACGTCACAGAGCATGTGTGCATCTCCTGATGAGGTCATCTTGTGACGTCATCGGGAGGCGTTGGTATCATCTTGTGCGTCTCGGAAGATCGCAAATATCATTAACCATGATACATTCACTGTGAAACCAAATCCTCCCCAACCTACCACCAACCCCCATAGTCATGCAATGTAATAATGTACTTAACGCCGGCACACGAGTGGATTTCATCGCTCCACATCCATGGTGGGCCTCCTCCCAAATGCATTCTATCCCGTGGTTGCCATTCTGTCATTATTTTAAACCAATGACCATCATTTTGTCTCCTATCATGTACACTACCATGCATTCCTTTGTATGTAATAAGAGATCCTACAAATTTGAGAATGATATGTTTTGAAGGATGCAGTGTTATAGGTATGAAGGTTGGCCATAGGAACATAGGGGCATGCGGGCTTGTGGTAATTGGTGATGTCACTTGTCAGGGTGGGAGAGGGAGCCTGGTGGCTTTGGCAGTGGTGTGCAGACACAGGTGGCTCTATTCCGGGAGTTCCTGTTGAGAGCAAATCGATATCATGCACTCTGCCTCAACGGGGTGGAAGTCAGTGTGGAGCCAGAAGCGCGGCTTATCCTGCTAGAGGTAGGCATTATTTTGCACGTACACACATGCACACACACCTGGCGGTGCACAAACAAAAGCATGTACTACATTGAGTCCAATAATATCCATGAAAATTACGTTTCCAGAAAAGTCCGGCTTAACCTCAAACACGTTTTTCATTTGGATGTTTAGTCCAATTGGCTTTGAGAGGAAATGTGAGAACCCTGAATTTAAAGCTTTTCAGTACCCATGCTTGCCAAACACTTTTGCCTCCCCAGTGCGGGTACTAACCACACCATTTGGCCAGGTATCCATTTTTTGGAGAATTATCCTTCGGAGGACCATGCCAGGTTTCGACAACCACTTTCCACTGTTCTATATATGCATAGTCAGGCAATGGAACCTTGATTGCTATAATTACAGCACAGTAAGACCTCTCCTCACACAAAGATACATTGGTTAACCTCATCATTAGATCTGGCACCACACAACATAATATAGTTTGTTCTCGATTATGGGACCTTGCAAATCCAGCTGCCCTTTGCGTCCCACTGCTAATGCTAACCATAACACAACAGATAACATGTTAGGTTTATGTGACATAAGGAAGGCCCTAGACAGGTTCACATACATATTGATGCTGGTGTTATGCATGACCAATATTCGATCCTGATCACTGGAATCATAACTTATAAATCACCACTCCCTGTTCCCCGCACACACAGTGCATACACCATGTTTGCTGTTACATCCATGACTGTGCTTATCTCTTTCCTCCTAGGATATTCCAAACCAGTTTTACAGGGAGGCCTCTACCCTGCATGACGTACTCAGGTAAGATATGACTGGTGAAGTGAAGTGGGGTTTGACCAGCACTTTTGAGTCCTATGTCCCACGAGGGTTCACAATCGCAATGTAGTAGAGCAATAGTTATGAGTTGTAAACAATTGCAGTTTGCCATTGAGCAGTGGTACTACAACGATACTACCATACTCCCAAGCCATAGGTTAATTGTTAATTTTACAATGGTTTAAAATCATAATGTGTGTGTTAACAGAAATGTATAAAATGCTAATCACAAAATGTGTTATGAAGCAACCAAAGAAAGTTGCTGTTTCACCAGCACATTGTTCGATTTCATAAATCTATAGCTTCTTTTATTCTGCAGCATTTGAATTGGTATTCTCCATACTAACCAGAGCCGGCTTCCATTGCCTTGTGTACATTATATGCCTTCTTCGTCTCTTTGTTATTATGTACAGTATGTTGAGGTGCATGAAGCTGTGTTTTTTAATGATGGGCTATTGGTGATGCTGCTTGTGCCATAACCCTTGTACTCCTGTTATCTTGTGATTCCTTTCCCTCTGTAACCTGATGGGCTATTTTAGAAAGTTTTCTATCTGTGGCCGGTGTCCACTGGTGCTGGTGGCGAGCGACTGCTCTGGGAGTGAGTACAGCCTCCGAACCCTACTGCCCCTTGGCACTCAGGAGGATCTAGGCATTCATGTTATCAGGTGAGGACCAAGGTTTCCACCAGTCTGCTGTTTGTGTTATTCAAGTCCACATCAAGAATATATATTTGCGGCAAATTATTTTTCCACGAAGATAATTATAAATATATCATCAAAATGTATAGGTACACAAGTTGGGTTATTCTTTTCAAAACCACAATCCTGAATAAAACCCCTTTTTAGCTGAAAGGGGTGCCAAGGTGGCAAAATGTTAACTACCTCACTTGGTATACAGGAAATCGTGGGTTAAATCCCGACCCTGACGCCTGTATATTTGTAGTTTGGACGTCTCTCTCCTATATTGATAAAGCAAGAATCATTGACATTATCACGATCGATAATACATATCTCTAGACAATGTGAAAGCCAATAATAACTTCATTAATGTGAAAATCTATCAATAAATAATTATTATTTCCATTATATAATACATTAATAACGCACAAGTAAATACAAAATAATGAATAATAGTTATATAATAACGAGTTAATAAGCCCTGTCTTCGCCAGGAAAAAGTTTTCAATGAATATAATAATTAACCTGATATGATTGATTATTTGAAATTTTTTTCGATGCTATGACACTAACAACTACACCAAAAAAAATGTTATGCAAAAAAAACACATTGTTGACGGAGGATGGCTGCTTGCGTTGTGGCCGAAACGTCGTGAGAATTGTATTTTATTATGTTTTATTTTTATTATTTTATTATTTCCCTTCTACGTGACTTTACCAAAAGAACCAAGAAGACTTGATTCAACTTTTTATATTTAAAGACCTACCCATCTGAAACTTTTAAATTTAAATAATCTGTTATTTTTATTAGAAAGAACAAAAATGTATTAACATAATACTCCGAGGGGAAGCTTCTATATTTTACCGTTTTCGAATTATTCATATTTTAATATCATAAAATGTTTAATTTTTTATTCAAAACCGTCTGAATCCGAATATCTCAAAAACAATAAAAGATAGAACAATGTTGATTTGAAGCTTTCATGGTTCTTTCAGTAAAGTCACGTAGGTATAAAATAAAATAAATCAAGCGTCCGTCATCAGGTGTGAAAGCATGATCTGCTGCTGAGGCAGACTGTTTTAAAAGGTTTGAAATGGGTGTAGCCCAAGGGTCATAAAGAAGTGGGCGTGGCTAGTGATGTTAATGTAAGAAATTAGCATGTAGCTGTAAGAACGGAGAGCGGCCTCCTCGACGAGGGTACAGAAGTGGCTATGTTAATGTGAGAGATTAGCATGTTAATGTAAGAACAAAGAGTGGTGCAATCCAAAGGACATGTGAGCATGAGAGTGCAATCCAAAATGCATGAGAGTGCAATGCAAATGACATTTGAGTATGAGAGATCTAAGAGAGAGGCATAGAGAGACACAGTCGGAAATAACAGCTGCGGCCTACTCGACTCTGTGTCTCTCTTTCTCTCTATGCCTCTTTCTTAGATCTCTCATGCTCAAATGTCCTTTCCATTGCACTCTCATGCCATTGGATTGCACTCTCATTCAAATATAGTTTTAATCTTGAATTGAATTGTGACCCTGAATGTAATTAATTTATTAACAAGGATGGGTGGGGAAAGGGGAGTGAATCACTAACTGCCTCCCTAGAGTCACCTGAGTGTGTATCTGTGTGTGGTGTTTGAGTGCAGCTTCAACCCAGTGTCTCCCACCAGCTTGCTAAAAGTGCTGATGCGTGTTGCCTCTGCAGAAACTGCCCAGGTGTGAATCTTCCTTTTTATGTAATGACTAAGCAATAGATACCCAATGTCATGCACGTCTGAATAATGGGGGTGGTCTGTTTCTTGGAAGTTTGTATTACTATTTTAGAGCACGATATAATTAATTTTTGTGCAATTTTTCTCTTGTCTGAAAACATATGTGATAGCAGCTTAAGATACTCCTCACATGCTACTGTCAATGAGAACACATCACCCGAATATGGGAAAACCGGGATTAGGTGATGTTGCGGTGATTGTTACACTGTATCATAAACCTGACCAGTTTGATGAGTATATGAGTATTAATATTCATGTAGTAATCAACCCAGATACCTAAATATGTGTACGGTTTAACATTTGTGGCGGTAGAGCTGCACAGTGTGCCAAGTGGACTACATGGGGCATGAGAGGAAACATATCGCTGGGAAAGGATAAGTCCTTCGCGTCCCTTGCATTTAGCAGGAGTTGGAGCCAGATGAGGTCATTTTTAGTTGCTGGAGAACTTGAATGATGGCCACCAGGAATTTGATAAAAGAAGAGAAATGTCAAAGTGGGTTGAGGTTCTTTCAAGTGTTTGGCACAATGTGTTCGAAATTACTTGGAGTATGAGGCTTATACAGGTTAGCTTCAGCTTTGGGTGGGACATTGCAGTTTCTGGTAGTTGTAGATATGGTGATTAGAAATGGGGATTTTAAGCTGTGTTTTATATCAACTAAGTTGATGGCAATGGTTAGTGGTAGGAATTCTTCAGTTTTTTTGCAGGTACATGAACGATGTATGTTCATGTGTGCTTATGTCGGCGGGTCGTGTGTGATGCTGGCCGTGTTGGCCTTTATAGGTGCTTGTGAACAGCACTTGCTCCAAATGTTTCTATGGTTATACAGGGGATATTTGTCTTTGTGCAGGTAAGGGGGCGGCCGTGTGTGCTGAATCAGATGGTTCTGCACGACCTGTGTGCATCAAGTGCAGGCGATATCCGTGGTGCTATCAATGCCCTGCAGTTTGCCTGGCAGTGTGGTGAGTGCACCAGCAGCTCCACTTTCTTCATGAATGCGGTGATGAAGAGTAACCTTTAAACGTTTCCTGTAAACAACATGAGCAGTTTTCGAAGCTTTCGTGACTGCAGGAATTACTCTTTGGTTCTTTCGGTAAAGTCACGTACAAAGAAATTAAATTAAATAATAATAGAATACGACGTTTCGATTGTAACACAAGCAACCATCATCGGTTGTGCTGTACGAGTGACGAATTGGCATGTTCTGTTTACGTGACAACCCTCACTAGTTGGCTGTGTCGGGTGGCGATGGGTTTTAACGACACGTTCATATATTTACGCGATTTAACCCAAAAAACCTCTCTTATGGATGATATTTGTCGAGAAAGCCTACACGTTAAACTGAATTATATCGTTCTTTTCATTCACTATCCGTAACATTTTTATTAAAAAAGACATAGTTTGCATAAATGCCAGAGATTTTCTCATACAGATATTCCTCAACTTACGAACACCCGACTTACAAGCACCCGCACTTACGAACCAGATTTTATGAAATATATATCTATATATTTATTTTTAAACATTGACTTAAAACGCGTACTCACACTTACAAACTAAACTGGGGAACTATTTTGGTCAGCGGCGCGATCCTCCGCAAGATAAGTCAGCCTCTCACTGGGAGTGCGTGTTTGTGTGTGTGTGCACGCGCATGTCTGTGTGTCAAAGTGGAAACACTGAAATAAGCTAGTGCTCGAGGCCTCAGGGGAAAGGCGTTAATGATGCCTTCTGGAAAAACTCCATTTAGCATAGCCAGACTGAACCCCCCCTCGGGGTTCTCCCAGGAACAGGAGACTACTGCTGTTAGCCACGTGGAATGTTTGAAATGGGCTGTACCACTTAGACCTCTGTGGAATACAGGAGGCACAGTGGACCTGTTTTGGCTCCAGTCATAATGAAGGGTGGACAGTTCTCCACTCGGGGTAGGAAACTGCCAAACAACAGGGAGTGCTACTTATTTTGAACAAAATAAAGGAGGTGTGGGAGCATGGTGGTGAGGTTTGGGAAGCTGTAGGTCCCAGGCTCCGGTGGGCTTGACTCTCCATCAACAAGAGGCGAGGGGATTGGTGGTGGTCACTGGCGGAGCCAGTGGGGGGGGGGGGGGGGGGTGGCACGTGCCTCCCCAATGATCTGATCCCTAATTTTGATCGGCTCATTGGGATTTATCTATATATTTAAAATGGAAAATTGTGATTATGTGTGTCTGTTCAAAATGTTTAGCATACTTCCCGACATGGAACAAACTTGTACTTTCCAGACTGTACACCATGCAAAAATTATTAAAATAGACTTTTGTATTTTGGGGGCGGGGGGGGGGGGGCTCAATAATGCATATTTTTTTGCACGGCAAGTGAGCTGTGACGTCACATCTGTCATGTGACCCACGCATGTGGAAGCATAACGGAGTGTGCCTGCTGACGTCACGCCCCCCCCCAACCCTCCAAGGCGCGAGTAAAGTGCCATAAAAATGTGTTGCAGGTCTAGGGCGTTATTTGCGCAGCATTGCTTTATTATTTCAGTCGTTTACTGCTGTACGCACCCTGATAGTTGTGTGTGTCTGCAGAAAGCATGTGTATGTGTACCTATGGATGCGCGCGCGTGTGTGTGGGGGGAGCGGTAATATAGTGGTTAGCGCGCTGCGCTATGAACCCAGCGACCCGAGTTCGATTCCCGCTCACGACCACCACCGGTGACGATTATTTGAACCGGTCCTGGGCCTCCCCTAGGTCGACTCAGCCTCAGACGAGTAACTGCTGTGGTGTGTGAACATCACCATTGGGGAGACAAAGGCGGCTGGGATGGTGCTGGCCACCCACCCCCTCGTGTGCCGTGCCAGCCTTCATAGGTGCTCTCTAACAGCACTTGCCTCCTACAGTCTCACAGGCTACACGGGGGATCTTTGTCTTTATCCTTTGTGTGTGGGGGGGGAGCAGCGACTGCGTAGCGATTCGCGCGCTGCGCTACGAACCTGGCGACCCGAATTCGATTCCCGCTCACGGCCACCACCGGTGACGATTATTTTAACTGCTCCTGGGCCTCCCCTAGGTCGACTCAGCCTCAAACAAGTAACTGGTGTGGTGTGTGAACATCGCCACTGGGGAGACAAAGGCGGCTGGGCATGGTTAATCCAAGCCCCGGGCGAAGCCAGGTAGTAAAGCTAGTTAGTAATAAATCGGCATTTTGCAACCCCCACTGCCACTGTGTAGCATATTATTATGTACCAGGGACTTTATAAGATGATAGGACAATCGTCTGAGTCCATAATTGGCAATAAGTAATGGCAAAGCAGTTATAAGTGACTCACAGAATTGTGCACAGTTGCGTATACAGTACACGACTTCCCTGAAGGCATACCTTCAGCGAGCGCGATGCCGATCTCACACGGTTTTAATTCGACCCTCGATCGATGGCTGCGCCATCGCCGCACACGCGTCGAATAAAAAGCAAGGGACAAGTCCTTACTTACTAACAACATCCATCATTGCTGGAGGGGTTGCCCCCACAACCTGAAAATCCTGGCTCCGCCATTGGTGGTCGTGGTTGCTTATGCCCCCACCGAAGATGAACATCAGTGGAGGGATGCAGACAAGGCTGATAAGTCAGACGCCTTCTATAACCTCATGTCCCAGGTACAAGCTAAAGTGGCCCTTTGGGATAAGTCGTCCTGTTGGGTGACTTTAATGCATGTGCGGGTTATGACGCAGACACGTGGGTCGGAGTGATTGGAAGGCATGGGCCATATCAGCTCAATAATAATGGGAGGAGGCTGCTAGACTTGTGTGCAGCCCCTGGGCTTGTAATTCCCAACATGCTGTTCTGACATTGGTGCATCCATACAAAATCATGGATACACGCCAGGTCCAAGCAAGAACATCTGCTGGATTACAAAGTGACGGAGCAGTGGGTGCATGCCCATGTCATTGACACCAAGACCTACCGGGGAGCTGATCTGCCCACTGACCATTGGCTTGTTATCTGTAAGATGCACCCTCCATTCTTCCACTCCGGTGTTGGGTGTCCATCTAGTACCCAATTCAAACCCACAGTAGCCTGGTCTCAGCTAGCTAAAGATACAGGCACTCCTTGACATACGCGATAGATGCGTTTCTGGAAAAGTGCGCATATCTAAAAATCGTGTATGTCAAAAGCAATTTTCCCATAAATAATTGTAAAGGATGGTGTTAGGGAATTTCACTCACACTCACAGACATGATCACCTATATTATCCTAGCCTATATCAATCAATGCATGTACACAAAATAATACTTAAATTAAAATCATGTAAACTCTAATATACGTCTGATAAAATAAAAATGTAAATAAAGAATTACAGTAAGAAATAAAAAAGCGGTGAACACAACACATCGAGAGACATGAGTCAAAGGGAAGAGCGCTGGTGTATACGCGGCGAAATGCTGTATAGTATAGCACACTAGTTATAGTTATCGTATCGCACTGTCTGCTGGCAACGCCATTGGGTTGTGGTGCCAGGCTAGGGTGGCATATGTCGTGTTGTGGATGACGTTATTCCGAAAATTGCATCACGCATGTCAAAAGGTCTAAATACAAAGCGCGCGTTATTCCAAAATGGCGTACAAAAGTGCGTAAACCTGTAGTTGCAAGCAAGAATTTCAACATCACTTGCAGCTGGGGTTGGCATCGTCCCCCCTCCTGATGCTGTGAGGGGAAATGGGTGAGGTTCAAAACTGTGGCTCATGTAGCTGCAATGACTGCGTTGGGTATCCAGTCCAGACTTCCTGGCAGAAGCAGGAGGTGTTCCGGATGGATGAGAGAAAATGATAGGCCCACTCCCGTCATCTATAACATCGGAGGTTGAGAGCCATGCGGCGCTGCAAGGATGAGTGGTGGGTGCTCTTTGCTGAGGGGATGGTTTCTGCCTCAGTAGCCCACAATCACAAATCACTATTTAATTCCATCCAAAAAGTTACTTGCAGCATCTCGCCTATCACTGTCCTTAAGGGAAAAATGGTGATCCGATCTCCTACCCTCAGGAACTGATCTGCCGGTTTTCATAGCATTTCTATGAGGTCTTTGGGGAGGGGAATTCCCTCAGCCCAGACAACATCATGGGGCAAGGTGTGCATGACTCTGCTGGGGCCTCTGTGCCTTAAATATTGGCAGAAGTAGTCACCTCTTCTGAGTGGTTGGCTGAGGTACCATCTGTGGAGGAAGTATGAGCAGCGCTCCGGAGTCTGAAACCAGGAAAAGCACCGAGCAGATATGCTGAAGAAGAGTGGCGTCTGTGTACAGACTGCCCTACATGACATCATCACAACTGTCTGGACCACAGAATGGGTTCCACAAGATTGGAAGGATCCCTGGTGGCTCATCTTTTTGAAGGGGGACAGCACAGATTGTAAGAACTACATAGACATTTCTCTCCTCAGTGTGCCAGGAAAGGTCCTGGCAAGGATGACACTGTGGAACAATTTCTTTTTTATCCTGGGTAGTAAGTGTTATTTCCTAATTACTTATGCCTCAAAAGTACAGAAAATGGCTATTATTCCCCACAAACTTTGCTTTTGTGACCAGGACAGTGATATTTAGAAATGTACCTATTTTCCAGATTCAGTGCTGAGTAAACTTGGAGTAACTTCTAGAACATTCTAGAATTTTCCAGTAATTTAAATAGTATAAATACAGGGGCCTTAAGCCCACCATTTCAGTTTAGTTCCAGCTGCCTAAGTGGATACATATCTACATTTTTCTGAGAATGCATCAAGACAAGAGCGAAAAAGTACTCTGTGGAAGCATCTGCAAAGATGTGTGAGGCCTACAAGGCATATTTCGGCATGCCTGTCGGGGATCAAGACAAACCCTGGGCACCTCATTCCACCTGTCAGAAATGCAAAAAAACTCTGGAAGGCAAGATGGACAATTGTTGCTCGGAATTTTATGTTATCGAATTTGTAAAAAAAGAATAATTGTAAAAGTTTTTAAT